CACTAATTTAAGATGTACAGATGACATCATTTTACTGGCAGAAAGCAGCAATGACTTGAAATGTCCCCTGATGAAAGTGAAAGAAGAAAGTGCAAAAGCAGGACTGCAGCTGAACATTAAGAAAAAAAATCATGACAACAGAGGAATAATGAAACTTTACTGATAATGATGCAGAAATCAAAATTGCAAAAGATTTCGCATACCTCTGCTCAATTCAGAGGGACACTGCAGCCAAGAAATTGTAAGAAGACAGACACTTGGAAGGGCAGCAATGAAGGAACTAGAAGACCATCAGGTGTAAGAACATTTTACTGGAGACCAAGGTCAAGATCATCCAGACTATTGTATTCCCAATCACAGTCTATGGATGTAAAAGCTGGACATTGAATGCAGACAGGAAGAAAATGGATGCATTCAAAACATGATGCTGGAGGAGAGCTTCGTGAATATCCTGGACTGACAGAAAGATGGACAAGTGGGTCCTGGATCAAAACAAGCCAGAGTGTTCCCTAGAAGCAAAAATGACAAAACTGAGGCTGTCATACTTTGTACAAACTGTGAGGAGGCAAGACTCCTTGGAGAAGATAATCATGCCAGGGAAAGTCAAAGAAGAAGAGGAAAAGGGAAGACCAAATATGAGATAGATTGACTCTATAAAGGAAGCCACAGCCTTGAACCTAGAAGAACTGAAAGGGGCTGTCATGGACAAGACATTTTGGAGGGCTTTCATTCATGGGGTCACCATAGGTTGGAGACAACTTGATGGCACATAGCACCAACACTTTTAAAAAGCTATTGTTAGAAGCTCATCATTAGAACCTGAACAAACAAGGTAAATACTGATTAGGTCTTTCCAGCAAATGCTACACATCGTATCAACAACTACTACACAGTAACTATGTAGGAGTACATTGTTTTGGCTTAGTGGACAATTGAGAACTAGTTCTATGGGTACTCTCATAAAATGGCTGCACTGGGAGAGGGCTTGCCCATTCATAAAATGACTACCATGATGGGAAAGCAGTCAACAAGCAGAAAATCGTTAAGACTGAAGAAAAGTAACTTGACCAAGAACTTAAGTACCAGGTACAAGTGGGGGTCTGAGTTTCAAAACACGAAAATAGTTCTTTGAACTCAAAAAGAGATGGCATCTGAAGGGATTGCTTTGCTTTGAAGCATGCCAGGCTCCCAGTTAACTTTTTTCAATGTCTCCCCTCCCCAAAACACAAACAAACAAAAAACCCCCAAGGATCTTAAGAAATGAAATTAAAGTTCAGGAGGGGCAAGGAGCCTGGTGAACCCCAGTGGAGCTGTCCACAGGAACTTGCACACCCATGGGTGCCACATCGGAGTACCCCTTGTACATGATTTCAAATCTTTCCATCAAGGTAATCCAAGGTGTTCTTGGATGAGATCCTAAGATCCCGCAGTCCGTGCATGCAATGGGGTGTTTTTGCTCCCCTTAATGCACCTCCTTGAACCCCAAAATGAGAAGCTGTACCAGGGTTGCAGGAGGAACCGGGAATCGGCAACCGTGGATGGACAGTGTACTTGAGTGGAAGGCTGTACCATGCTGACAGTGGTTAACTTAGGAAGCGCAGATGCTCCTCATGAGAGCTGCAGGAGCCACAGAGAGCCCAAGACCTGCAGACAGCTGTGTTGATCCATGTCAACAAATTATTTTCAGCGCATTTCAACTCCATACTCCACGCACCAGCTACTGTTTTGCAAAGCTAATGGGGCATAATTGCTCAGTCAAGACCAGGCCACGCTCCAACTACTTTGCATAACAAAGGGAAGAATACATGATTTCTGGAAAGTGAACTATCCCGCCCCCTCCACACCCACCCACTCACGCCAGTTTCCGAGATGATTGCCGCTAGGCTGAACGGGAATGGGGAGTTCTGAGCAGGTGGGACAGCCTCGCCAGGTAGGTACCCGGGCAGGCCCTGGCTCTCGCACTGCATCATGTGTTGGGATCTTACTGTGCATGCAAGTGAGGGCTCACAAGAGATCATCTGGAGGAACCCCTTGTGAGGAGCATCTGCCGGGCAGCACATCTGCACCCTGCGCCTTGGGACTAGCTTTGATAACTGCTCAGGGGTTCTTTAGGCTTTGACGTCTTTAGACTTTGACCCAGTTTGAATGGGATCACAGCATGGTTAGCAAGCCATGGTTATTGTTAGCATGTTGAGAGTCGCTCCCTGCAGCCCCAGACCAGCCACACTGCCTGAATTTAGGCCACGCAGCAGACTGTGCCATTAGGACCGGTTAGGGCAATCTGATAGGCACCTGCCGCATGTAGAATGCATGGTGGCTTATTTCCCCCCACTAAAACCCTGTTCTCGGTCTTGAAATTGTTCCCTTTCCTCTCTTCTCTCAGGCTTCCTTTTCCATGGCTGAGCACGACCCGTTTCATGTGCCAAGGCAAACCCACCAGTTCTGTATGTTGTGTCCAGGCATCAGCAAGGGTACTCTCTGGTGCATGATGTTCAAACTAAATATTGGGTTGGATTAAGACCTCCCCAACCATCACATACGGGGAGCAGGTGGAGGGCATAAAGATTTCCCCTTCAGCTGTCACCAGTACCAGCCATTTCAGTGGGGTGCACAGAGGCAGATGGCAGGGAAGTGAGGCCATTCCCCCAGCCTAGCTGAAAGGCTGTTTTTCCTCTTCCCTCCCCATCCTTTTCCTTGTGTGTCCTGTATTTTTAGAGTATAAGCCTGCAGGCAGGGACTATCTTGCTTTACAGACTTCATGTACATTGCTCCAGAGGCCTTTTGGGCTGCAGAGCAAGATAACAACACTATAAATGAATAAAAATAATTCACACACCCACTGAAAACAGGATTTCCACCAGTCACAACAAGCTTAAGTCCAATCAATTTCAAGGGATCTGCTCTTGGTAGAACTAAATCTGGCCCTGCCTTGCTTTGCAGCTGCCTCTGAATTAGAAGGACATGCAAAATGTGGGAGAGGCACATGTTTAAATATATCATCCAGATAAGCCCTTCAAGGTCATGTCTGAATAGCTCTTTGAAGTATTATTTGTCATAACTGATTTGAATTGAAGCAGTCAGAAAGAAAAAGCAAATGTATCATTACATTGTTATCTGTACCTTTTAGAAAACATGGCTTTGTGCTTAGCTGATATTTTAATCAGTAATCTCAAGCCATCTGGCAAAGAATAAACATCTCCTTTGTTTTAATTATGTACAGCCTAAGGCCCAATGCTAATTAGCAGTTTGAAAGGAGTTGGGGATGCCAGAAAGGGGGAGATCAAAGATTATGTCTTACTGAATATTACAGTTTACACAGCAATTGCTGAAGCTTTCAGCACAGATGTGGAAGCAGCTGTAAAGAGTAATTAGCACCATTTCTGAACCCACAGTAACACATCACATAATGGATGACGATTATCCATGGCATCTGAACACTGGGATCACATCCTTAATTTTGCAGGAGAACTATGACTACTCTTTGCGGAGGGCAGCCAGAACTTCAAGCTTCCACATTATAATTGCCATGATTTGGGATGTGTGCATGTGTTTGTATGTGCATGCCATGTGTGATGAACCCAGAATGTATCCATATTGGTTCTTTAAAGCCAGCCCTATGTCGAGGTGATGTGCATAAATGGCAAGGAAATCTGTGGAATGCGCTCCCCAGAGAGGTTCGCCTGGCGCCGTCGTTATTTGTTTTTCAGTGCCAGGCTAAGACCTTTTTATTCAAGCAATATTTTAACAATGTGTATTATTTATGGTTTTAATTGTGCAGCTGGGGTGTTTCCGGGTTTTAATTTGTATTTGTATGATATTTATTTATTGGTGTGAGCCGTCCCAAGGGTGTGTAGCAAGGGGACAGCATACACAAACTTTAAATAAATAAATAAATAAATAAATAAATAAATAAATAAAATAAGGGTGCGCAGCCTCAGGCATGGTGGCAAAATCCAGCTGAGGAGATTCTGCAATGGGCACATCCCCACCACTTGCCACTTTCCCACCTTTAGTGCCCTTTCCCCCATGCCATGGTGCTCCTAAAGCTAAGTGACTGGCCATAAAGGTGCTAAGCTAAAATATCCTAGTACTTTTGGCTGGACCCTTTTTGTCTTTGGCCCTGCTGAGCACAGGCATGAGGCCTGCGGCCTGTGAGAGGGCCTCTGCCTCCAAAATGGCATCTGACCCTCAGACTGAAAAAAGTTCAGCGTCACTGATACATAGGGTTGGAGCTAGTGCATTAATTCTGCTGCCCTGAAGCAATGAGGAAGAAAGTGGGAGAAAGTCCTTTTAGGCTAGTAGACTTCTGCTAGCATGGCAATGAACTTAAACCAGAGCCTGCTGTCGATCATTTTATTAAAACTACAAGATAAGATTTCCCGTCAATACAGCTGAAACGAGGGCAGCCCTCTTCTCTCCTTCCCCCACAAAGTTCTCGGTATCTGCACACGAATGCACATTTTCCACTGTGCGCCGGTCAATATTTACAAGGCAAGGCACTGCAGGAGCAGCTTTCAGGCCAGAACCGTGAGGAGGAAAGAGGAGGCTTGGTTGATATACAGGATGAATGAACCAACAGCTCACTGTAAATAATAGCTAATGTGCTGAACTGGCAGGCATTCCTGAGATTTACAGTTTGCCAGAAGGGGCCTAAACTCATTTTCTGAACTGGGCCTTTTCTTCTGCATATGTGGTTTGAAAAGACAGACGGACAGGCAGACAGACAAAGAATGATGCAGTGTAGTAAAATGTATTTGAAAGTCATGTTATAGAAACTCATGTACTCATGGTACAAAGAGGTAGAAATCAGCACGATAGATTTACAGGCTAAAGAGAAATTAAGCTGAAAGACAAGCAAAACAAGTCCCCTTTTGTAAGCCACTTCTTCAAAACCTAAAAAACAATCCCCCAAAATAGATTGCTAGTTTCATTTGTTCCCCCCACCCCTTCCAACTTCTATTTAAGGCCAATAAGTCACACAGTAGCTGCCTGGAGTCTTTCTAAGATTGTTCCCAACACTTGATAAGCTTTTTAAAGGCAAGCTTAAAATCTTCATTAAAGCTCGTGTACAGCAGAGGATTGATAAGAGAATTCACGTAACCAAGCCAGGTCAAAAAGTGAGCTACTTCTGAAGATACGGTGCTTAGCCCAAGGCCCACAATGAGCTCTTTAATGAAAAATGGCAACCAAGACAGAATGAACGCGCCTAAAATGAGGCCAAGGATGCGCGCAGCCTTTCGCTCCCGCACACTGGAAATCTGCTGGCGGTCTCCACCCAAATCGAAGTCATTATCAAAGGCAGAGGTCCTCACCGAAGCATGCATTCTGTCAAACTCTGTGGTTGGGTCAGACGTGGAAAAGTCTGAAACACAAAATGTCTGTGTGAGCTTACAACTGGCAAAAGAATTTTGGCTGTCGGTGCTCCTGCTGCTGAGATGTCGGCTTGAGCCACGTTTCTGGTAAAGGCTCTTGGCAGCATGATAGATTCTGTAGTAGACAATCAGGATGAGGGTCAAAGGGATATAAAATGCCCCAAACGTGGAATAAATGGTGTAGATCACATGGTTATGTTGAATCTGACACTCATTGGAACTGGTGTTATTGCGATGGTTTCTCCAAAACAAAGGAGGCATAGAGATGAACGTGGAGATTGTCCAGACTGTTCCAATCATCACACCGGCTCTCTTGGCAGTCCTTTTCCTGGCGTATTCAATGGCGTCTGTAATCGCCCAGTATCTATCCAGCGCAATGACACAAAGATGGAGAATCGAGCACGTGCAACAGGTCATGTCCATGCTCAGCCATACTTCACAGAGGAAGTATCCTAAAGTCCACCTTTCCATCACTATGTACGCGATACTCAGAGGCATGACCAGAACAGCAACAAGCAAGTCTGTGACAGCCAGTGAGCAGATTAAGTAGTTGGCAGGCTGGTGGAGTTTCTTTGTTGTGCAGATTGCTGAAATGACGGAGGAGTTCAGCAGCATCGTCAAGGTCGTAATTACAGATAGACTCAGGGTAATAAGCATGTTTTCAGTTACTGTTTTGGATCTGATGGCTGCATTGGCTTCAGGGGTGAAGTTTGTATGATTCATCTTCTCTGGCTCATGCAAATTGTTCACTGTCTTCGAAGTGCTGATAGCATCAGGTTTAACATTCCTCTATTCCAGGGGATAACCAAAGAATATTTCAAACTTGACGTGTGAAATCTTTATATTCCATCTTTTCCAGATCTAGGCTCTTTTTCTGCTAGCTGCTTTCCTGGAAGAGGAAATACATATTTGTTAATAATAGATATTCTGATGGGTTTATGTATGAATAAAGAAATCAGTGAAAAATTACAAAATGCTTTCATATTGAACACCACTGATGCACTGCTCTACTGCCAGGAGCATTTACAGACTTAGCTATGGTGTCACTGCAGTCAAGAGTCAAGAAGGATGTCATGTCACGGTTATCCTGTGTAACACAGTGGCTTGGAGCCAGATTTTATCTTCTGCAACTAGAAGAGCGCTTGTTGTCTATGGAAGGTTTTTGATTCAGAGAAGCATTTCCACAGGTGGGATGGGGAGGAAGCAAAGCTGACCAGCAGCCACCCACCCTGGCAGTTTCTATGTTCCCCAAGGAACAGCTCCGGAGGGTTAAAGGGCATAACAAGAGCTTGGCTGGGGACAGCCGTGTGGAGAGCGGGCAAAAATCTTCTCCCCATTTCCAGGAACAACTATTGATACAACCCAATCACCTGTTTATAAGGTGTGCATCTTCCTGCTATTGACCAGGCTGAGTGGGAGTGATGGAAGGATTGCAATGCCCAATTGTTTAGCCAATGTTCAGTGTAGGGTGGAGTGAATGGTCCTGCACTGCAGCACGGCATGGGAGCATGTAGCAAGTTCCCCCAGTGCCCTGCAAATTTATCACAACAGCTGTAATGCCTGTTTTCTAGATTTATTCAGTTCTGTTCATGGACCATCTTTCCTGCATTCCTACCCAATTCAGCTCAAGGGAATCTTTATCTGAATAGGCCCCACAAACAATCCATCCAAATGTAACATTTTCCAACTTATCATAAATGTGCGCCATATAGTTGCAAGATATGCTGATCTTTAAGGCTTAGTGCATTTATACCAGAGTTAAACTGGAACATCATTCCTCAGCACAATGCAAAATAAAGAATATTACAGACAAATGTCTGCCCTTCCTTCTGTAGGTATCTCAAGTCATAAATTGTTTTCAGAAAAGCATACTTAATAGATGTTCACTTTTCACAGAATGACTCCACATTCAGCTGTCAGATTAAAAAGAAAAACACTGTAGAAACAGTACATTAAAATACCAATTTTATAATAGGGTGCTCTCAAGAAAAGATTTAAAGAAAATTTTTAAAAATATATTTTTATATACACATCCCATTACTGATTCAGGAGCTTATGCAATTCCCTCCAATTATACTGAATAATGCCTCATATCCTGCTAAGTACATATTGACAGGAGAGAATCATACACTTATTCTCCTGGAGTTTGCTGGGGGGTTTTTCTTGTTGGATATACACAACTGAAGTGAAAGTTTACCAAGAACCAATCAAATTTTACAAATATTACTTGCTTTGGAACTGTAAGGCTCAATCCTATACTATTTGCCAGAAAAAAAGGCATACAGCTCTTAGAATTCCCCTTTCAGTCATACTTTTTCCCTGTCTAAACATGTATAGGATTCTACCCTTAGTATTTGACTTCGTACATAACCAGGAACTATCCTTGCTATCAAAGGGGTTCAGCAGCCATATTCCAAGCCTTGTCTTGGGTTATTTTACACTAAAAATGTTGCTTCCCAGAGGTATATTTCTAGCATAAATAAAAAAGGGTTTGTCTATTTATTTGTGGTAGTTACATACTGGTAAGTATAATACAATCTAAGCAGAAAGCGGCCAACCAGTCGCTTCAGCTGCTTTACACTTAATGGAAGATCTTCCATCACTTCCAGCAGGTTCCTGCCAAAAGCTTCACATTCTGCTCAGGCAGGAGGCGGCTATCCATGGCTGCTCATCGTGACGTCTGCATATCACCTCTAGGACCCCAGGAACTTCGCCTCTCAGTGCCATTCACTGGGAACACGAAGAAGAGGCTGGCACGGCCACAGTGCCTCAACCAGCCTGATTTTCAGCGATTGTTGTTAAGAAGCAGCAACCCGAAAAAAGAACTTGGTGTATCCTCAACACTGGGGCGCAGTTCTGCGGAAGGACTCTATTGACGTGGGCAACTGCAGGAGATCCGGGGGTCATTTCTCCTCATGGGCTGCAGTTTGAAGGGCACAGGCACCATTGCAGGGTTCCATGAAGAGGAAAGAGACCCCCAGCCAGGCAATTTGGTTCCCAGATCCAGGAGCAAACCACTGCACAGTGCAACGGAGCACTAAAAGTGTCATGCTCAGTGTGCAAACAAGCTAAATTCAACTGGTTTAGGGATTGGTAGTGCTTCAATGCCATTCCTCCACCGCAATTATTCCCATCACCGAATTTGGCAGCTCTGCAAGGGCAGTGCAGGCTGCACAGAAGGTGCAGGGGCTGAATCTCACCCAGGGACAAGGCTTCAAATCATCTCCATGGAGGAGTCCATGAAAAAAGAGGGGGAGACCCATTTAAGAGCTATTTAAATCAAGCACAGTTGGAATGGTTCTGCTTTTCCTCTGGGAAGTATGATCTTTAAGAGATTGCACTTTTTATAGACAGACATTAAAAGGATAAGTTGTCCCTGAGGAAAGAAGAGAGGAAGCATGTGAAGAGTCAGTTCTTAAACTGGAAAGTCACTTCTGGTTTATTCACCTGTAAATCGGGACAGGACAGATTAATCTGAGTGGCAAGAAGCCCTGGAATGTACTGTCAGTATAAGGAGTCAAATACAAAATGGGAGATTCATGAAATTTCTGCTAAAGAAAGGCAATGTACTTTTCCTGTTTGCCCTTTTTTGAAAATTGTTTATATTGTACTTTATAGCAATACATTGGAATCTCAAATAAAATTTACACTTCCTAGGAGCGATGTCCCTCTCATGGGAATGCAGTCTGATTGCATAAATGTCATCCCATCTTTCACCTGGAAAGTGGCAGGTGAATCAGCTCAGCGGCTTCATGTTGATGGGATCTGACAGCAAGAATCTGTTTAAGAGTGAAAGCTTCTGTCTCCCAAATGATTCATTAACTGGCAGGGCCCTTTTCTCTGTATCTATAGACTGAATGAATGAAATTGTCCCTCAGAAATGGCCGGAAGTGCTTTTCCTTTACCTGGGTTTATGGGCAGGAGGTTTATGGCCAGAGGACTCATACATGGAGCCCCGTGGAGAACTGCGGGTGGAAAACTAAGGAAGGAGAGGGTGCAGACACCAGTTCTGCATCGGGTGCATCGTAGGTAGTGGATACTGGTTTGGGCTAGCTATTCCAGCTGGCTGGCTAACATGAACCATGGCTTGACCAAGAGGGATTTTTACTTACCTATCCAGTTTCCAAGAAATTTAATTTAAACCTATACTCCTGCATCTTAAGAGGCTCTTCTGCTGTGCAGGCTTATGGTTCAAGGCAGCCTTCCTTCATGGAGTGTCCTCCAGATGTTTTATCCCAGGCCAGCACAGCCAGTGCCCACTGACAGGGCCCTCCTGGAGCTTCTCCTGATCTTCATCAGGGAAACCCGTTGTTCACCCGTCCCTGCATTCAGAGAGGCACAGTGCTCCCCCATTACAGGAGCAAGAGGGCCATGAAGGGAAACATAGATGCCAGAGACACTTGAAAAGGGGCAGCACAGTCAGTTTATTTACCATTGTTAGAAGTTGGTGAGCAACAACTGGGGACTCGGGGTGCTTGGGTTTAGAGGCAGACACAGTGGGTATAATGGAAATATGGTGGAATGAGAAGAACCGCTGGGAAACAGTTTTCTCTGAATACAAACTCTGAGTTCCGTCTCTTTCAGCCCAAGGACAAATTCCATTTCAGAGAAGATTTTGGGACCCTGTTCCAGTGGGGTTCAAAGCATAAAGAGTGATGCTGAAAACACCCCAAATGCCAGCATATTTTACCTGAAGGCTCTTACTGCTAGTAACTAAGCTGTGGAGGGGCATTTAAGTCTTTAAAAAAACAGGGAGGGGACTGTGCCAGACTCAGGAAACCTCCAAGCTGTCAAGGAATGTGAGAGAGAGGATGGGACCTTGGGCAGAGAGTTGTTTGTTTCAGTTCCACCCCATCTTTTCTCCAAGGAAATGGTGCTCAGGGGCATTTCAAGCATGTCCGCTCCAAAAATGCTCTGGTCACAGAAGCCTGCCTGCAACCGCCTGAATAAGGTCAAGTTTTCCAAATGCTTTGCAGTAGCAACCCATGTGGGGCATAAGCAAGAAAGTGGCAACTTAAGAACTGAGCTTATTATGGCTTAAGCTTTCATGGACTGTAGTCTGCAAAAGTATATACCGTGTATGTACCATGTGGAGCCACAAGCCTCCAAGAAGAGCATCTTACACTAGGCTAACCTTGATGCAGTTAAGGTCACGTTGGTGATAGCTGCAGGTCCACCTTCTCTGGGAAGTATTTTTCCTCCGGAATAGGTTTTGGCATTCCTTACCATCTAAGGTCTATGACCACGAGTGATTTACATTTCGCTAGTGCACTAAGAATCCAGGCTGAGCGTAAAGGCAAGCTGACTATTTCTGCCACCCCTCCCTCCCAGCACTTCTGCAAAACTGCTCCTTTCATATGGCTTTGCTACTCATGAAGCTTAACTTAAGTGGGAGCCATGCCATTTACCTGACTAAAGATTTAGTACTTAAAGGCCCTGCTCATAAAATTACAGATGCAATCCACATTATCTCTTTCTTTGTTAAAGGAGAGCTTTTAAAAAGCCAGCATATGGTTTTTCAGGGTGGCTGAAAACTAGAATGTTTTTGTATTTGTTGAAAGAAAGCTGAAGAACACAAGAAAAACCATGCTGGATCAGATGAACGGTCCATCCATTCCAGCACTCCATTCACATGGTGGTAAGCCAGCTGTCCACAAGATGCCTCAAGCAGGATGGGTGCAAAACCTCCGCCTGCCTCCTGCAATCCAGCCAAGCAGGAAAGG